CTGTACCAGGCGGCAGAGACCGAGCTGCCTGCTCCGCCTCAGGGGTGTCTCAGGCAGGAGGCTGGGGACGGGGGGGAGGGGGGGCAGAACACGCTGGTATTTGCACTGGTGCCACCCACTGGAGCTCCCAGCCAGCTGAGGTGTCTCAGTTGGGGCACCCAAAACACAGAGCTGCCGCCGGCACTAGCCCTTTCTGCTCTGCGTGTGCAGGACAGCAGTCGGCAGGGCTGCCGGCCTCGCCCCTTTCACCAGCACCGTATTCGTGTCAAAGAAAACCCGCTCTGGTGCTTTCTGTCCCATCGAACGAGCAGTTAGCCATGCAGCCGGCGGCTGGACTACTGGGATGCACAAAGCTCCTGCTGCTTCTGTCGCTGCCTTGGGCCCCCAGGGCTTCTGCAGCAAAGGTTCGTCCTGGCACGGGGCACCCGCCTCCCTGGGCGAGTCCAGGCACCAATGTCCTGCCCATGCCCCGGGGGCCGAAGGGGGCTAAGTTACAAGGGAGGCTGGACAGGGGAGTTCACACGAAAGAGATCCTCCTTCAGGTGGCCGTGGGACTGGAACCAGGGCCATCCACCTTGCTGGGCTAGCAGCTCTGAGGGATGCCATGGTCTCTGTCCCCTTTACTGCCAGGAAAGCACTGGCCACGGATCCTTTCTTTGGCCTCACACCCTGTGTGCTGGCTGGCTTCTGGGCATCGCCGTCTGCGGCGCCTAACTCTCCCCATGCCGGGAGCCTGGGCACCGGCTTTGTGGATCACAGTGATTTTCAGGCACTCAGCACCTTTTGTGCACTCAGGCCAAAAACGTCAGTTCAGGCTCTTTTCAGACCCATGAAATGCGCCTGCTTGACTCGGACCAGGCAACTGCTAGAATTGCCACGGCCACTAGCTGCATGAAGCTCAGTCAAACCAGAGCAAGCGCAACAGGGTAAAACCTGCTCCTGTAGAAAGTACAAACCATGCAGTTACCTGCTTCACTGCATCCGCATAGGACGGAGGCTGCTTTACCTCCGAGAGGGCTGGGCTTGACTTACAAAAGCTTGGGGATGGAATAGAAAACTTTTGACCTGCCTGCGTAGCCATCTGCGTGGGGGAAATACAGGGAAACGCAATCAATCCACCGGCCAAAGGGTGGACTCCCGCTGCCTCTCGCTCCACCTGTCTTCCCCCCAGTGTAAACTCCACTGGAGTCCATGGCATCACTCCACTGCCAACCAGACTATGGGAGGGGAGGAGCAAGCCTGCGGCAGGACAGACGGACCCAGGAGATGGAAGTGAGTTCCCCTAGCTAGGAGGAACCCATTCAGCTGTCTGCATGCATCGTTCCTGCACGTCTTGACAGGAGGTGACCCTGAGCGTTTATCTTTCAGCACCGCTGGGCAGCTCAGCTCTGACCCTCGGACACCACAACAAGAGGAAGAGCAAAACCCGGACAATAATCAACTGGTGAAAAATACAGGCCAACCTTGGACAGCAAGGTCCCAAAGACAGCACGTTCCTGGTGAGCGAACCCACCTCCCTGCCCAGAGCTCACCTCTCCCAGCAGCTCGGGCTGATCCCCACAGGCCTCATGCTAATCAGTACAGGGCTTGTTTTCTGACGCCCAAGCCCATCTCCCTGGGCTGACGCGATGGGCTGAGTCGCTGGGCAATGCAGCAGCTGGCAGATGCAGTGACTGAGCCCTGGCCACAGGCGCTCTAGGGGCACAGTGGCTCATTACTAAGGACTTCTCGCAAGGGCTGGTTTGCAAGGGAGGCCCATTTGACACCCGTCAGCTTGAAATCTCTGGCCCTCCCCTTGGGAATCCTGGAACACATGGCTGTGATCTAAGTTCCCCAGTGACCCCTCTGCGCCAGTGGGGGAAGAAGGTGCAAGGCTGATTCGTCCCCAGGGGAATGAGGGGCCGGGGCCCTGCCCTGCTGTCTAGCCCCCTCCCGAAAGCACTAGCAGAGCGCTCGCGGGCTTGCCAGCGGCCTCGCAGGACGCCTGCAACTGAACAGAGAGTTTCTCGGCAGCGGCTCTGAGGGAGACCTGCGGGGCCAGCTGCTCATTTGGCCCATGTTCTTGCCAGAGACGGGCTGGTGGCGTTCTGCACAGGCAGCCGTACGGCCCGTTTTGGCCAGGAGGGGCCCTTTGGAGAGCTCTGTCCCAAGCCTTTGCCTCGCTCGGCCATGCCAACGTGATGGGGGGATGCTGGTCCGGCAGGGGAAGACAGGATCGGGGGGAGGGAAGTTCAGGGACCAGCGCCAGCCTCACGCTGGGGGGCAGCAGGGTCTGAGCGATCAGCAACCCCTCATGCTGGAGGCTGGGACCAGCCACAAGGGGGTGCTCGTGAGCTTGGGGCGACCCCTTTTCCCGTTGGGAACTATGGCACCCGACTTCTGCGGGTCAGAGCCAGGGCGCGTTGGAGAACTTGCGGGAAGGCCTGTGCCCAGCCTCGTCCCCAGGCTAGAGACCTGGCTAAGCCACCCCCTCGGTGCAGCCTCCACGGAGCCAGGATTGACCGGCACTAGCCAGGCGCCTCCTCCACTCACCGGAGCTGGACGAAGTCGGTGGGTGGCCTGTGGGGACCCGCTGCGCCCTTCCCCCAGGGTGCCCGGGGACACGGCCAGCAGGTGGTGGCTGTTAGGGGACGGTGGCAGGCTGATGTGCTGCGGGCTTCTGGCAGCCCCCAGCGGCGAATGTTGCGGCGAGCACTGCGGGCTCAGGAAGGTGGAGGAGGTGGTGGCGCTCTGGCCCGCTGACTCCAGGCAATGGCTATGCACAGCATGAGGCGGCTTGTCCAGGCTGGTGGCCTGGGTATTCGGGGCAGTCTGCTTGGAGAACGGGCAGCTGGAGACCGGGCTCTCCTGCTTGACAGGAACACCGAAGAAACGCTGGCCGAGGGGCTGCTCTTCCTGGGCATTGCTCCTTTTTCGCTTCTGCAGCTGCATGCGCAGCTCCTCCACCTGCCTCTGCTCTTGCTGCAGCTTCCACGTCAGCTCGTTGATGACCTTCTGCTTCTCCGGGCAGTCTGCTTGGAGAACGGGCAGCTGGAGACCGGGCTCTCCTGCTTGACAGGAACACCGAAGAAACGCTGGCCGAGGGGCTGCTCTTCCTGGGCATTGCTCCTTTTTCGCTTCTGCAGCTGCATGCGCAGCTCCTCCACCTGCCTCTGCTCTTGCTGCAGCTTCCACGTCAGCTCGTTGATGACCTTCTGCTTCTCCACCAGCATCTTGTCTTTCTCCGTGTCGATCCCCTCCAGCTCCAGCTGGATGCTTCCGCCCGTCACGCTGCCCACCAGGCTGTCGTCAGCGCTGCCCGGCACCGGGGAAGGCTGGAGAGCGAAGGGGGGTGAGGTCACGGGCCCCTCGCTGAACGTGTCTGGCAAGGAGCCGCTGGCGGAGAGGTCGGAGGACGCCGGGGAGATGGGCAGGGAGGAGCTGGTGCTGCCGAAGGGGTAGAAGCTGCCGGGGAGCATGCTGGCCGAGGGCTGGGCCTGGTAGCTGGACACTGTGCTGGTGGGGGTGACGGGGAAGGTGACGGTTGTGATCTCGCTGTAGGTCGGCCCCGCGCTGCCGCCGCAGTCCTGGAAGGGCCGCAGACGCTCCATCAGGGCGG